TGCCCTGCTGCCTTCAAATTCAGGGCTAAGCAATCCTGCTTCAGGCTTATGAGTAGCTGGGACATACACCTATGCTTGGCTGGCTTATTTTGGGTGTGAGTGCATAAGGGTGTGTGTGTCTGATAGCTGAGGTCACACCCTTAGACATACAGACCTCAGTGTTCTTGGATGTTAGAGGATTGGATGAGAGATTTCATAGTAAGTATAGCAAGCATAAAGATGTGTGCCAGGCAGAAGGCCTGTCTCCATGGCAACAGCAATGTGAGGTGGGAGCTGTTTTCCTCTTACCTCCGGTCATACAGCTAGTGAGTGGCAGAGTGGATCCAGGCTGGTGGCTTCATTGAGCCCCAATATGTTCCTTATGTATATAGGACGGCATTATCTAAGACCTCCTGCTCCTGCTATAAGGTCAGTGCAGTGGAGCCAAAGTGAGGACACACTGATAGGGGTGGTCACAGCACCCCCCGAACGGGCATCAGCATGAGGCTTGGGCTGAGGTGGCTGCAAGGCTCCCTCTGAAGAGGGTCAGTAAGACCAGCCAGAGCAAAGTGTAGCCAGCGTCCCTAGCAAGACCTGGAATGATTGGGAAGGTAGGCCCAACAAGGAGTAAGGGGTTGGGTGGTGGTGAGACACACCTTTAATCCCAGAACTCAGGAGGCAGAGGCAGGCAGATCTCTGTGAGTTTGAGACCAGCCTGGTCTACAGAGTGAATGCCAGGACAGGCTCCAATGCTACACAGAGAAACTGTCTCAAAAAGGAAATAAGAGACTCTTCCCAAAGCTAGACCACAGGACTGAGAACTAAACCAGAGTCCTAGAGGAGCCCAGCACGGGACATGACTCTTCAGGTGCTGGAAAAGTCATCTGGGCAGTCACCAAACACCAACAGATCCGAATCTCATTGTATGGATGGGAAAACAAGGGGCCACACAGCCAGTGTGCTGGGACTGAGGCCCCACAGGTGCTGTGACACCCGCCCCACCCATCCGGGCTGCTTCCTGCCTTCCTGCGCGGAGACCTGTCTTTCTCCTCTGGAGACTTTTGGCTCTACCCCAACACCTGTCTCATTTATTCCCTGGGCCTGATCTCCGTCTCCCAGGCCTAGCTTCTCTGATCTCATTTCCTTCCCACCCTTCATCACCTTTGTACTCCAGCAAATGGCTCCTCCAGCCTCCCGCCTCCTCTTTGAATTCCCCACTTCCTGTCTCCTCTTCCTTCTCCTTGGCATCATCACTCACACGCCATGGACTGGGCATGAATATAAACCCTAAGAGAACAAGGTCTAGCCTTGAAGCTAGATGGTGTCTGCCTCAGTGTAGACTTTCAACCGTTTCTACTGAGAGAATGGTTAGACCTGGTTGACTTGGGATCAAGACTCCTGTGAGCCTGACACTGAGCAGAAACTGAGAGGCGTTAGAGGAGCCAGTCATGGGTCCCACCGGTCCGGAAGCCCACCCAGCAGGAGGGTTATCTGTTAGAGGCCAGCCTGAGCTACATAATGAGAACAAGTCTCCAAATAGTAAACAAAAAGCTTATTTCAGGGTCCGTGTTCAGCAGGTAAAAGGTGGGGAGAAGAATCAATAAACAAAGGAGCCTGTGTATACCTCTCATATGTTCCCTAGAATGCCAATAGTGAAAACAGGTTCATGCACACAAGGCCCCTGGGGCTGAGAGAGGAGGAACAACTTGCCCAGGGTCAAGAGGACACTATACAGCTGGCTGCCAGCACTTTCCTGATCACCTCCAGCTCTGGATCACTTGTTTTCAGCTTCCTAGCATGGGACAGTAGACACATTCAAGCCTTTCTCTTCCCTTCCTGATCCCATGTGATCCCAGCAGGCTCCATGCCTGCCAGCCTTCCTCCACTCTCAATCTGCCTATTTCTTCTGTGGTACTGGGGACTGAAGCAGACCCCCATGCACATGCTCACGCCTGCCCCAGCATTCATGTGCAGGTCAGAGAACTTTGGGAGTCATCTCCTTTCATGCATCGCATGGGACCAAGGAATCAAACCTCAGGAGTCAGGCTTGGCAAACCCCACTCCCCAATGAGCCGTCTCACCCCACCTCTTATTAAATTATATTTTACTTTTGTTCTGAAATTGGATCTCACTGAGTTGCCTGGGCTGGATCTGAACCTTCAGTATGACAAGTGTGAGTTACTGTGCTCAGTTCAGGCTCTTTTTGTTTTTGTTTTTGTTTTTTTATCATTTATTTTTGTATTTTATGTGCATTGAAGTCTTTTTTCTGCATGTATGTCTGTGTGAGGATCCCCTGGAACAGGAGTTATAGACAGTTGTGAGCTGCCATGTGGGTGCTGGGAATTGAACTCAGGACCTCTGGAAGAGCCTGCAGTGCTCTTAACCACTGAACCATCTCTCCAGCCCATTTTTTGAATACATGACATGTACACATATGAGTTTATATCACAATATATTATCAGACAAAATCATATAACAAATTCATAAATGTAATGCTAGAACTAGAGAATCATTAAAATCTTACCTGAAACTTACCTGAACACCCCCTAGATAAATTATCCCTTTTAAAGATTTATTTATTATGTATGTATCTAGTGTTCAGCCATCAGACCTCATTACAGGTGGTTGTGAGCCACCATGTGGGTTCTGGGAATTGAACTTGGGTCCTCTGGAAGAGCAGACATGTGCTCCTAACTTCTGAGTCATCTCTCCAGCCCTCATCTCTCCTTTTATTTTAAAGGAGATAACACTATTTTGTGTTATCACAAACAGGTGTATGTCCAGAGAACATACTGCTTATTTTCAACTGTACTGTATGGCTTTATGTTTTGGTGGGGTTTTGGTTTGGTTTGGTTTGGTTTGGTTTTTTTTTTTTTTTTTTTTTTTTTTTTTTTTTTTTTTTAGATGGAATCTTACTCTATAACCCAGGCTGGTCTGGGAACTCCCTACCACACTCCGCTCTGTAGTGTGCTGGGGATATAATCCAAGGCCTCACACTCACACATGCTGAGCAAGCACTCTATAAACTGAGCCCTCTCTCCAGCCCCGGCATTGCAGCATTGCTTTCTATGCCCACTAAACGTTGCCCTGGCAGCCTGTGGTCCTGTGCAGGAGTTGGTCAGAACCCATCTGCAGGCCCCAGTGCTGATGGCTCCTCTCAGAATAATTTGTATGACAGCTCCACAGGCCCAGCTGTCCCCACTCCAGTGCATAGCACTCTACAGTTCAGGTGAGCTTTTAAAAGCTCACCTTGTCCCCCACTTCCAGAAGGAAGTCCCCTCCACTGTCCCCTGTCCTTACAGGCTATAAAGTGTGGCTCTCAGCCCCAGTAACGGACACTGCACACACCCTCACCCCACCCCTGCCAACACACACACACAAACACACTTTCACACACACAATATACTCTCACATACACACACATGCACACACACACACTCACATGCACACTCACACAATTCTCCCTTCACACAGTCACATACACAGACACGCACACATACTCTCACACATGCACACACACAGCCCAGGATGCAAAGGCCCAGCCTCACCCAACATGCCTTCCCAGGGCCTGCACACAGTAAGGGTTCAGCAGTGTGGACAGTAGTAACAGGACAGAAGGATGCTGTCATGGGAACCCTGTCTGACCCCGACAGCAGTTGGTCCCCTAAGCCTGCTCCCTCTATCTCATGAAGCTTTTTCATGTCTCTTAGCCCATTTGAAGGATTTGTCATCTTGCTTTCTCCTTCCCAACTCTGGAATCAGTTCCTCTTAGTGGCAGGAAGGAGGGAATTAGAAGACGTCAACCCCATAGAAGCTTTCACTCTACACCAAGAAATCCTAAGAAAATAAAAATTGATTCTGGAAATGGATTTTTAAAATTTCACTCAGGCGTGGTGGTGCAGGACTTTAATCCCAGCACTCAAAAGGCAGAGGCAGGTGGATCTTTGTGAGTTTCAGGCCAGCCTGGTCTACATAGCAGAGTTCCAGGTCAGCCAGTAAGAGCCTGTTGAAGGAAGATGAGGGGGGGAAGAGAAACACACATACACACACACACACACACACACACACACCCCAGAGATGGAAGACATAAACACACAATGTGCATGTGGTATTAAAATCTTTAATTAAGAATAAGTTGGACATAGAAAGCTGGGGGTTTAAGACAGTTGATAGATATTATATAACATACACAAGGCCCTGGATTTGATCCCGGCATCACATAGAAACTGGGTATGGGGGTGCACACCTGTAATCCCAGAACTCGGGATGTGGAAGCCAGATGATCAGGAGTTCAAGGCCAGCCTGGTCTACATAATACCCTGTTTCAAGGAGTGGGAGAGGTGGACCTAAAAGATCACTAAGGAAGACGCTATGGAAACATGTCTGATGTGAACTCTCAGCCTTGCCCTCTCTGACTCAAAACTGGAGGTCACCCTCAAAAAGCTCCCAAATCTGACCCCACCTGATACCTCTGGTCTTTTCTCATATCCCTTCAACATACACACCAATGCATGAAGGTCCATCGGTCTGTCAGGTGTCCTTCATATCACCCTGAGGCCCCAAGTAGACATTTTCCCAGGTACACCCCTCCTGAAGCTGGAGAGAGTTGGAGTCTTTTGGCCCTATGCCCCAGTGTTTAAAAACAAGGCAGTGGGGGCACACTCCTTTAATCCCAGCACTCAGGAGGCAGAGGCAGGCAGACCTCTGTGAGTTTGAGGCCAGCCTGGTCTACAAGAACTAGTTCCAGGATAAGCTCCAAAGCAATACTGAGAAACCCTGTCTCAAAAAAGTAGAAAGAGAAGAAGCCAGGTAAATGCTTGTGTCCCCAACACTCAAGAGACAGAGGCAGGAAGATTGCCACAAGTTCAAGGCCAGCCAGCTCTGCATGACAAGTTCCATGCTGGAACAGCTTCCAGAAGATCCCAGGAGGGAGGAAAGCTGCAGGAGGTCCCAGGGAGTGAGGGCCACTACATGTAAGATGTGCTTTATTGCAATTCGGTTGTGGTCACACATAGCTCTACTTAGAATCGCTCTAGAGGCATAGAACCACTTGGGGGTGGGGCAGGTTGGTTGGAAGCTGGGGTAGAAGAGGTGGGGGTAAGGAGAACCTTGGGTGCTGCAATTATCTTCTGGTCTCCTGCTGCAGAATCCTCCAGTCTCTGAGGAGCCCGAGGTATGGTGGAGTGAATTAAACCCAGGTACACAATGCCACCTATGTAGGCACCCAGGATGGGTGCCACCACTGGCACCCACCACCAACTGTCTCTGGCACTGCGGGCAAAGAGAGGGAGGCCTGCTGAGGACACTGATGCCCAGCATGCCACCTGTGATCCGCCCAGGCCACCCCATCTACCCTAAGGGACTCTCAGCCTGAACCAGGGACAGGGTTGACGGTCCAACAACAGGAACCACATCTGAAGATCTTTGGGCCCCTCCTGATCCCAGATCACCAAGAGACTTCATGAGATTCGCCTGTGCCTCCCTACACTCTGCATGCCGGGACCCTCAGAAAGTGGGCAGGAATGGGGTCTGGAGGGGCAATACCTGAATACTTGTCCTCCCCAGCCGGCAATGAAAGTGAAGAATCGAGGAGGCAGGTCACGGGATGGGTTGATTGCATATCCTGAGTTCATGCCTAGAGACACCCCAATAATGCAAATAAGGACGCCTATGACCAGTGCCTCAGTCCCTTGAAGTGCTGCATTGTTCTTCTTATCCGTGATGGCAAAGAGGCACAGCTGGAGCATGGCAGTCAGGAACACCTGGGGAGCAAATGTCATGGCAACCTGCTGAGAACGTGGCCAAGTCAGAGGTGCTCAGGCAGGGCCCCAGATCTGCAGTGGCAGAGACATGTCTTAGTACAATCCCATCCAGAGTTCTTCTGTCCTCCTATGGTCACTGACCTCATCCAGGAAGCCATGCCACAATGACATGTGTTCAGGAAGATAGGTGGCAAAAATGTTTGCAGTGGACAGGGGCCCTGTCACCAACAGCTCTCCGCCCGAAAACTTGTCAATGGCGCCTATGGAGACAAAGATTGAGTTAATTCCCAATGAGGTCTAAGAAAAGAGCAATCCCCACTGGGAGTCCCAGAAAGAAGGCTGTGGGGTAAGTGGCTAGGAATATTTCAGCAGCTTTAATCAGCTAGTTTTTCCTTTTTATTCTTCCAGAACAGAGCACCAAGTTAGGATCTAGCCTTATTGCAGAAGATGAGGCTGCAGGCAGAGGACCCAGGAAGAATACTCACGGTAGAACAGTAAGTAGATGGTGGCTGCAGCTGAGAAGGAGCCCAGGAACTGGCCCAGCACATATATAGGGAATTTCTTCCAGGGCATCCGGCCAAGCGCACAGCTGGTGAAGGTCACAGCTGCATTCATGTGGGCCCCTATCATGAGAAAGGGGTGGGTGTGGTGGGGGTTAAAAGTAAAGAAACAAGCAACAAAATTAACAATGTGGATGGCAATAGCAACAGTAAATAGGAAAGGCTACTCTTTACAGAGTATATTCCCTGTGACAAGAACTCCCTGGTTTAACCCTTAAAAGATCACACACTAGGTGGGGGGGGGGCACAGCTGGGACTATCTTCTCCATTCTTGCTATATGGAAAATGAGGAAGGAGAAGGTGAATCCTTTGGAGGAAGGAGAAGGTGAATCCTTTGCTTAAGATAGCCCAGCTAGTACTTATGGTAGGTCAAAGGGTACGAGAAGAGTCTGGGGAAGACAAGGGCAGAGGCAAGGGCTTCACAGGGGTCTTCTCCCTGCAGGACACCTAAAGGTGCAGCAGTAGCTGAAGGGGGCAGAAACAGCCCGCCAGAAACACTTGCCCTTGCCTGTAAGGCCAGATGTGGGCTCACTCACCAGAGATGCCGCCTGCCACATGCACTCCCATGGTGACTCCGAAGCCAAAACCCAAGTTGACACCAAGATAGCTCCCAAGCTTTTGGTCTCCTAGAACCATGTGTGCCACGGAACCAAGGCCAAACACCTGTGAGGGAGGGCTTCTGAGGGAGCAGCCTGCCCAACATCCCCCCATCAGAGGACTGTTCAAAGCTCAGTTTCCCTCCTAGTGCCCTCATCCCTGGGCCTCCTCAGCATCTCCTATAAAGACCATTTCTTCTCTCCCATTCTTTTCTAATAAACTTTCCTCCTTGGCTCCTAGTGAGGCCTCTCATACCCGAGTCAATGAGACCTGGATGATGGGGATAGAAAAAGGTCCAGGTACAGGATGGTACAGTCAGAGGCTAGATCTATAACAAGCCTAAAGATTAGACTGGGGGCAGGGCTTCAGGGAGGTCAGCCAGTGTAAGTTGCCATCCTCAAAGCATGTGTGCCTTAGGAGTTCGGATCATCCATCTGAAAGAACTGTTGCTCAGTGGGTTATCTGAACCTTAAAGAAACTGAATGACCTATCCAGCATCACATCACCTGTGACATGAGCCAAGCATGAACCTAGAAAGTCATCCATGCCAATACTTGCTGCTATGAATGTCTTTGTGTTCTTAGAAATATGAACCCCTCCAGAGCCAGGCAGTGGTGGCACATGCCTTTAATTCCAGCACTCAGGAGGCAGAGGCAGGTGGATCTCTGTGAGTTCAAGGCCAGCCTGGTCTACAGAGTGAGTCCAGGACAGGCTCCAAAGCTACACAGAGAAACCCTGTCTCAAAAAACCAGAAGGAAGAAAGGAAGGAAGGAAGGAGAGAGAGAGAGAGAGAGAGAGAGAGAGAGAGAGAGAGAGAGAGAGAGAATGGCTGATTAACCAGTAAGGTGGTGGTGGTGCATGTTTTTAATCCCAGCACTTGGGAGGCAGAGGCAGGTGATCTCTGGGAGTTGGAGTTTAGCCTGATCCACAGAGTGAGTTCCAGGACAGCCATGGCTACAAAGAGAAACCCTGTCAAAAAAAAAAAAAAAAAAACAAAACTCTAGATCCTATAGCATAAACTATTTAAGGGACCAGTAAGAATGGCTCAACAGGAAAATGTGTTTACCACCAAGCTAAATAACCTGTGTTTGATCCCAGAACCTACAAAATAGAAGGAGAAAACCAAAAACAGTTATCCTCTGCCACAGGTGTGATGTGGCACATATAAGCCCACACCCACGTGGACACACCCACCCACAAATAAATAATACAGAATGAACTTTATTTGGTCTTTCTGAGACTGGGATTCTCTGTGTAACTCTGGCTGTCCTGGAACTCACTCTGTAAACCAGGCTGGCCTAGAACTCAAGAGATCCACCTGCCTCTGCCTCCCAAAGGCTGGGATTAAAGGCACGTGGTACCCACACACAGCCCATAATAAACTTTTAAAATTAAAACATACTCACACCCAGATGGCATGTCCTTTGAGATGTTTATGTGTTTGTACATGTGTTGTAAAGAGATCTCTACTGTCATGCTGCTGGCAATCAGAGTCTACACATGTGTCCTCTAACGTGGCAGTCACTGACCACACATAGCTGTTATGTGCTTGAATGTGGCTACTACAGAGATCAGCCACAAGTGTAAAACATGCACCAGACTTCACATCCTTAGTCACATCCATTAACCACATATTGACATGAAGTTTGGAACATATGGGTTAAATACCATAGTAGTTCAAAATAATGTCACCTATTTCTTTTACCTTTTTAATGTGGCTACTACAAAATATTAAACATACCTGACTCATTGCATTTCCCTTGTACACCTTTGATATATGAGAGAAAAAAAACCTAAGGAATTGTGACTATGAGAGCTAAAACCAACTTCATCAGTGGATGATGATGCCAGGAGAAGGCATTGGGCTGAACCAGTGACGACACCATGAGAGGGCACAAGGCTAACCCTGTACAGGACTCATGTTAGAAATCTCGACTGGAGCATATATTGAAATGGAAGAATGGAGAAATAATGCCATGTTTGCCAGGAAGAGATAGTGTCCCTAGGAGGGCAGAGTCAGCTCTGTCTTGGCAGCCTGAGTCACATGTCTAATGGTCTAAAGAGCAGTCCTTCGGGTGTGACACTCCAAAAGTCATTTGTAAGGCATTGAATGCTGTGTTGTCAGGCCCTGGGGGCAGTGGCTGAGTCCAGAGATTGAGAGGTGCATGGTGGTGAGAAAGAGTGTAATCTTTTGTTTCATGTTTTTTGGACACGAGGTCTCACTGTATCATGCAGAATAGCCTCAAGCTCCTCAGCTCCCCTGTCCTGTCTCAAGCACACATCACTGTCTCCTGCAAACATAACTCTGAGGGACAACGTTGTTGGGTTCCTCTTGTTGTTCGAGGCACCGAGGGTGAAATTCAGGCCCTCATTCAGCAAGGGAAGGTGCTGTGCCATTGAACCAGGGCCCCAAAATAGAAGGAAGAATTGGAAGGGGCTGGTAGAGACTTGTGGCATGTTTGTGTTTGTGTTGTTTGGGTAGGGAGACTTTGGAATGTTCACAGGAAGAGAGACAGAAGAGAGGAGAGAGAGAAGAGTGGAGATGGACAAAGTGCCTGGATGGGTGACTGGTGCGGAGGTGGGAGGAGGAGGCATCTGCTCTAGCTGAGGGGAGGTGGGCACATGCTCGGGTCACAGGGAGAGGTGGGCACATGCTCGGGTCACAGGGAGAGGTGGGTCACAGGGAGAGGTGGGCACACGCTCGGGTCACAGGGAGAGGTGGGCACATGCTCGGGTCACAGGGAGAGGTGGGTCACAGGGAGAGGTGGGCACACGCTCGGGTCACAGGGAGAGGTGGGCACATGCTCTGGTCACAGGGAGAGGTGGGCACATGCTTGGGTCACAGGGAGAGGTGGGCACATGCTTGGGTCACAGGGAGAGGTGGGCACATGCTTGGGTCACAGGGAGAGGAGATGGGTCACAGGGAGAGGTGGGCACATGCTCGGGTCACAGGGAGAGGAGATGGGTCACAGGGAGAGGTGGGCACATGCTTGGGTCACAGGGAGAGGAGATGGGTCACAGGGAGAGGTGGGCACATGCTCGGGTCACAGGGAGAGGTGGGCACATGCTCGGGTCACAGGGAGAGGAGATGGGTCACAGGGAGAGGTGGGCACATGCTCGGGTCACAGGGAGAGGTGGGCACATGCTCGGGTCACAGGGAGAGGTGGGCACATGCTCGGGTCACAGTGAAAGGCACAGGACAGGGAGGCACTGGGTACAGGGAGCCCTGTGAGATTTCCTCTGGTGAGTGGGAGATTGAGCAGTTTTTGGGGGGCAGTTGTGAAGAGCCAGTCCTAGCGTGATGATGCACACTCATAACCCCAGCTCTCTAGAGGCAGAGGGTTGTCCTAAATTCAAGCCATCATGTTTTACACAGTATCTTCCAGGCGAGCCAGGGCCCACGGCTATAAATGTAGTGAGATCTTGTCTCTAAAAAAAAAGGGGAGGGAGATGGCTTAGCAGTTAAAGCACATGCCATCCAAGTGTGAGGACCAGAGTTCAAATCCCCAGAAACTCACTTAAATGCTGGATCACAGTGTGATTCCAGTGATTCCAACCTCAGAAGGCAAAGACAGGGAATATCCCCAGAGTGGTCGGCCAGAAAACCTACCCACATCAACAAGCTCTAGGTTTGATAGAGAAACTATGTCTCAATGAGTAAAGTGGAGTCTTTGGCCTCCACATGCACACACACACCACATATGAAAGAGATAAGCAAGCCACTTGGGCATAGGAGTACAGGCCTGCAATTCCGACTTTGAGGCTAGTGAGACCCTGTCTGAAAAAACAAACAAACAGAAAACACGGCAGAGATGGCTAGTGGCAGAGAGCACACTCTGCCCTTGCAGAGGACCTGAGTTCAGCCCTGAGTGCCCATGTCAGGTGGCTCACAACTGCCTGCAACGCCATCTTCAGGGGCCTCTAAGGCCTCTGTAGGCCCCTGAACTCACACGCACATACACACAGGTATACACACATGTGCACACATGCTCACACACACGTAAAAATAATTTTAAAAACAAGCAAACAAACTTTAGGGGGAAAGTGGCCTGAGAAGTGTGAAAGAGGAGGCCAGACCAGGCTGACAGGCTGGGAGACGCACAAAGGGCCAAGGCCTGGACAAGCATGGAGGTGCCGTGTCCATTCGCCTCATGTCAAAGCCCTTGGCTTTGTTGTTCATTCTTGAGACAGGCCTTCTCATGGCAGCCCTCCTGCCTCAGCTCCTGGGGCTCTGCGATGACACGCTTGTGCCACCACACCTAGCTTCAAAACCATTTGCTAATGATGATGAACCGGTGAACCTGCTGCCAGGTTTGCCAAGTGTCAGTGCATGCCCCCGATCCATCCGGCACATAGGTTTTGTTTGGATGGTTGATTTTGGAAATTTCAGCTGCTCTTGGAAAATGAGACAATCCAGGAATAATGACCTTCATTCTACTCTCCATGACAACCGACAGCTGGACTAGTAGTGGCTACACCCTTATACAGATGAGGACCAAAGCCCTTTGCACCCTTCTGTCTGTCTGTGGCATGGGAGTTTGTAATCCTTGCCCTGTAACTCACAAGCACAGCCAGGTTTCGAGGGCCCTGATAGCTCCAGCCCCTCCTCTCGCTGGTCAGTGAATGTAGCCCAGCCCATCAAAGTGCCAGCAACAGCCAGGAAGCCAGCTCTCAGAGCAACAACCTCATACCGGCTGAGGGAAGTAGGGCCCAAGGTCACACTGGCCTTTTTTGGGACAACCTTTACCCTGGTGATTCACTGAGCTTCCTATAACCAAAAAAGCCCCCACATCTTGGCACAAGACAAGGAACTAAAAGACAAGGAACTAAAAATAAGACAGCACAATGTCCTTCAGAAGTTTAGCTTCAGGAAGTTCTTTTTCCAAGTGGTCCTTCTCAACCCTCACAGAAAATCAGTGGAGAGACGGGGCCTGAAGGCCAGGATATTATTCTTGAACTTCCCAGAGACTGCAAGCTAGTGCCTCACCCCAACTAGAGGGGAGGCAGCAAGCTTGCCATCTCTAAACTGACAAGTAGAGAAGGAGATAAAGGATCAAGACAGACATCAGACTAGTCTGGATTTGCTTTAGACTTTGGCAGGAGACAGTGTCATAGAACCTCATTTCCCCAGCTGTAAAACGTGGGTGATAAGAATACCTATCTCAGGCCAGACAAGATGGCACACATCCTTAATCCCAGCACTCAGGAGGCAGAGGCAGGCAGATGACTGTGAGTTTGAGGCCAGCCTGGTCTACACAGGGAGTCCCAGGACAGCCAGGGCCATGTAGAGAGACCCTGTCTAAAATAATAATAATAATAGTACCTATCTCACAGGCCATTGTAAAAATTTGGAAAGGTGCGGTGCTGCATGTGAGGGACTGAGCATCCTAGTGCTTGGGATGCAGTAGGTGATCAATAATAACCAAAATTAAAGAAAAGGGAAGCCTAGCATGGTGGCACACACCCTTAATCCCAGCTCTCAGGAGGCGGGGGCAGGAATTCAAGAATGAAATCAATTGAGGCGACACAGAAATATCCTGTTTTAAACAAGCAAATAAATAACTTTAAAGGTAGAAAGTTGGTAAGATGACTCACAGATGAAAACACCTGTTGCCAAGCCTGGCAGCTGGGGTTCTATCCCTGAGACCCACACAGCAGAAAGAGAGAACCCACTTCCATGAGTTGGCCTTCCAACTCTCACTGTGGCATGTTTGTACCACACAAAATGTGTGCCCACACACATGCCAAAGGGAAATTTTTAATTTAAAAAATTCATGAGGAAGGACTAGGGGCATAACTTGTGACACAGTGATAAGCACTTGTCAAATGGACAGGTTTCAGGATTGATCCCTGGTACCAACAGAAAGAAAGAAAGAAAGAAAGAAAGAAAGAAAGAAAGAAAGAAAGAAAGAAAGCTGATGTTGGCATGTGTCAAGCCATGGGCAGTCCCTGCTTCCCCTAGGCACCCTCATTCCAAGGTTTAACAGCCTTCATAGGGCTGGAATGTCTTGTCATAAATGAATTACTTTGCCCTGGGTTAAGGAGGGACAAGATCAGGCTGTCCTCCCCACAGTTCGTGAGCCAAAGAAGGTAAGGATAGAGGTGAAGGATGTGGAGAGGAGAGTATCAAGAGTGCCTGTCAAAATAATAAGGAACCTAGTAGTGGGCACACAGACACTAACATACACACACATACACATGCACAATTTTGTAAAAACTCTACAAATAGAGTTCCAGGACAGCCAGGGCTATTACACAGCCCTGTACCAAAAAAAAAAACAAAAACAAAAAAAAAACAAAAACAAAAACAAAAAAAAAACAAAAATAAAAAATTACACAACCCAGGCTGGATAGATGGCTCAGAGGTTAAGAACACCTAGCACTCGGGGGCAGAAGCAGGTGGGTCTCTGTGAGTTCAAGGCCAGCCTGGTCTACAGAACTAGTTCCAGGACAGCCTCCAAAGCCACAGAGAAACCCTGTCTTGAAAAACCAAAAAAAAAAAAAAAAGAATACTAACTGCTCTTCCCTCTCCCAGAGGACCCAGGTTCCACATTAGGCAGCTCACATTACAGGAGAGCCAACACTCTCTTCTGGCCTCCACAGACACCTGCACTGGCATGCAATACCCATACACATGTGTGTAAAACTAAAAATAAACTCTTTAAAAAGCAAATAATAATAAATAAACAAGGAGCCAAATATATATATATATATATATAGTAATATATATATATATATGTACAATATATACTGGATGCTGGCACTTGGCCTCCATCATGTAAGTCAGCCAGCTCGATGCCAGTGTTCACAGAATCTGGAACACCTGGAACATTATATGGCTGAACCTGAACTCAGACCTAATCCTCCAACAACCCAGCAGCTGGAATCCACACTAGGAAACGGGGATGTCAGACTTGGAGCCAGGGAGAGACCTGCTCCAGCCAGTTGTTGACAGCCAGGCTTAAGATAAGAACCTAGGTGTCCAGGGTCCCTCCCATGTCATTAATTCTGAACAGTTTTTATAACTGCTCTCCATAGTGAGCTTTACCTCTTTCATTGAAGCCTCCATTGGGCACCATCACCCTCTATTTAACTACCTCCAGAATCTCTCAACACCTCATTTCTATCCAAATTAGTTTCTCCACTGGGCCTGTGCTCCAGAGCGGGCCCCTAAGAGCTTACCCTCTATCTACCTTCTCCATCCCTGGCTCTATCACCAGCCAACCTCCAACCTCCATGATGACAACAGCCTGATGATTGGCTCAGAGAGAGAGAGAGAGAGAGAGAGAGAGAGAGAGAGATGGCAGTGTGGTCTACATGCCCCAGCGCCTGGGTGGAGGTCAGAGGATAACCTGTGGAGTTCATACTCGAGTCATCAGTCAGGCTTGCTCACCAGGCATCTTTACCTGATGAGCCATCTCTCCTTCCCTTCATTCCTTGTTTGATAACCTCCCCACTTCCCTCAGACAAATTCTCAAAGGTCTCCCCACCTTTCCTTATGTAACCCAAGACTGGTCTTGAACTTACCATGTAGTGACAAGACAAAGGACTCAAACTCCCAATTGCCCTACCTCAACCACATATTAAAGGTGAGCCCAGATCTTTTCTCATTTTCTCTTTTTTCTTTGACTTGCTGATTCGATGTATTTTGTTTTGGTCTTGTTTTTTGTTTGTTTGCTTGGTTTGGTTTGGTTTTGGTTTTGGTTTGTTTTTCAAGACAGGGTTTCTCTGTGTAGCTTTATAGACCAGGTTGGCCTCAAACTCACAGAGATCCGCCTGCCTCTGCCTTCCCAGTGCTGGGATTAAAGGTGTGTGCCACCACTGCCTGGCTTTTGTGTATTTTTGAGACAGTTCCTTGCAGTGTAGCCCTGACTTGATTAGAATTTGCTATGTACACTAAGCTAGCCTCAAATTTGCTTCAACCCTTCTGCCTCTGTCTCCCAAATGCTGACACTACAGACACACCACCATGCCTTCGCTATAGGTTTTCCTTTCCCTTATCCACCAGTCCCTGATTCCACTCTATCCTGGCCTATCATAAGCCCTTTCCTGTCCCAAAAATGCTTGATGAGAAAGACCTCTCTGCTTCTTTCCCTAGCTCCCAGCTCAGGGGCAGGGGAAGGAATGGTATGACCCCTGGGGTCAACAGTGGGAAGAGATTAAAGAAATGCCTTTGCTGCCCCCCGCCCAAGGCCACCCCAAGGCCACCCTCCTACTCACCATCATGACATAGGTGCTCATGGATTCAGCCAGGAACTCTCGCACCATCTCCCTCTGCAGTACTGATTGTATGGTCCTGAGCATTGTGGAGTTCTGGATGGACCTGAAGCAGCAGACCAAGCCAACAAACAGAAGATTCAAGTCTGCCTCCTGCCCATCGGCCCTTTCACTCATGGCTGAGCTAATGAGTAACCTGGTAGCCTCTCCCCATGTACCTTCTCCTGCCCCGGGGGCAGTAGAGAAAGCTGGGATGAGAGACACCTGAGAGCCATAGGGACATGGAAAGGAAAGATGACCCTGCTAGTCCTCTTCTTCCTTCAGCCCCAGACTGAACAGGTAGGAGGGGTGTAACCACTTTTTTGCAAAGGGAGTAAGCCAGGAGTTGAAAGTGCAGTCTGCATCGGTTGGGGTGAGTAGACGGAAATGGAGCTCGACTGTGTCTGCCTCTTTGTGGGAGTCAGAGCTTGGGGCCACAGGCCAGGGTTTAAGAGTAGTGGGGTACTCTGCAAATCACATGAGGCATACAAAGTCTGGTGCTGGGCTCTGTGAACAGCACTAAAGCCTGAAAAACAAATACAAGGTTCTTCAGAAAAGCAGGGAGGGGTCCAGCAAATGTACTGGGCTCTGCAACCAGGCCAGCATGGAGATGCCTATGACTGAACGAACAAGCAATAAAGAGGAAGAAAGGAGGGACAGAGTCTTACTGCCCTGTGTGCCCTCAATGCCAGGCCCACAGATGGGCAGGAAATATTGGCTGAATGGATGAGGACCAGGCAATCTACTTCTTGGTTTTAACCAGATTGACACCAAAGCTTCCTGAAGTACCTGACGCTTGATAAGTGCTTGTTCAATAAAAGCTCTTTTGGATGGTCAGCTAGATGAAGAAAAATGAGTTTCAGGTGCCAGTGTCTGTTGGGGGGACACGGGGCTGGCACGTGGGGAGGTGCTGGGTCTGGAGGATGAAGAGAAATAGGATAGATGTGTCTAGGTGGGCCTTGGGGAAATAGGGTAGTAGTAGACTCAATGATGGGAAACAAAATCTAAGTGTTTCAGGGTACCAGTGAGTAGATGTGAGCCATGGAGGAGAGAAAAACATTAAGGACATGGCCTTGACTTCTGGCTCAACTGAGAAGGGCACCCCGGCTGAGCTGAGGTCATAGGAAGAAGAGTAGCTGGGGGGCAGGGCTCAAGGAGAAATCATTTTCACCTGGGATCTGAGCTGCTGGTGAGACCCCAGCAGGTCTTACAAGGTGGCTTTAAGCCAAGGAAGGACATGGCTGAGAGCCATGGCAGGAGTCACTCGGTCTAAGTCCAAGAGAGGGCACGGCACAAACCCCTGTGTTCCCGGGGCATGCAGCAGTGATCGGAACAAGCAAGTGTGCTTGCCTGAGAGGGTAATAAGTCTTACAGAGACCTGGGAACCAGAAGAAGAGAAACTGGGAATGCAGTGTCTTCTCAAGGAGTGTGACCGAAACTGTATGTGTGGGGGTGGGGTAGTCACCGGAAGCCTTATTGAGAAGGCTCATTGGAAATGGGTGGAGGGGCAAGGGGTTGGCCATGTAGTTAAGTGTGGGGGACAGAGCCTCAGGAAGAAGGAACAGTCGCTGAAGGAGTCTGAGCATATGTACAGAAAGCAAGGGAAGTCAGTCAGTGCAGCTTAGAGAGCGAGGAGATTGAGGCTTGGGGCAGAGGACAAGGAGGAAAAGGGAACCTAGTCATGGCCAGTACAAAGACTTGGCTTTTATTTCACCCCAAGAGAGCTGTACTCAAGAGCCAAAAGAGTCAGGGATTTGGTTCCTCGAAGTACCAATTACCCGGGAACAGTCAGAACCCGTTCACCAATCCTGGATCCTCCTCTTGTTTTTCAAGCTTCCCCAAAGCTCAGGGCCCAGCCTGACCTTGGCTGTGCCATGGGACATCAGAGAAAGATGGTCTGGGCCCCATGGGCTACTGGATGGGTGAAGACCAGGGGGCCCAGAAGAGCTGCTGCCCTGAGGGTCATGTTAGGGACAGGGCAGGGAGGCAAGGATAGAGTTGGGGATATGAGGGACACTTACCGCCTCTGCTGGGATGTTTGAGCCATCGTCTGTCTTGCTGATTTTTAGATGCTATGGAATCAGAGAGGGACCTAGGGCCGAGGGACATGGAACTTGGCTCCACATTCCCATCAGATCTGTTTCCTAGGGCAGAAGCCACCAGGAAGCTCTTGCCAGTGCTATCCCCCAAACCCAGGCAAGCTGAGAGAGGGAGTGGAGGGAGGGAGAGAGGAGGTTGTGCCTCAAGCAATTGCTAGGGGTCCTGTAATCCCACTCACCTCTACCCATGCTGCCTCAGGACCCTAGACCTCAAGACCTCATAGGTCCTCCTGGCCTTCCCAAGTCTGCCATCTACCCAGCATCGGATGATGTAATGCCTTAAGTCTGTCCTCCCACCTTCCCTAAAACTTTCCCTGTGTGGCATCTCATACTGTCAAGGTAACTCTTGAGTTGCCCTCAGCTGGGCTCTACCCAATTTTCTCTGGCTGAGTCGTCAATTTATAGCCTTAACCCTAACGGCAGAACCCCTGCTTCCTGACCCAGCCTCTGAGGAGGACTAGGAAAGAAGCCAGCAGTAGACCCATCTCTGGCCCATTCCCCTTCTGCCCAGTCTTTCCGATTGGATCTTCGATTGTTCCCTCCCACCTCCACCTGGCACAGCACAACACACCCTCCTGATCCCTGCTCCACTCAGCAACTCTGCCCCAGCCGAGTTACAGCTGATCTGTCCAAGTCACACAGCCACATGGGGCTGAACCAGAACAGAAAGTCATACTTCACCTGCTGGTGAACCTTCTTTCCCAAACAATCCCACAATCACCCCTACATGGTCCCTGCTGGGCTTGTCCCAAGGAGGCCAGCCTGCCCAGCCTACCTCAGTCTGCTGGCTCTCAGCCTCCCGTAATGAAGGAACTAGTTTTGACTCTATTCTATCATCACTGTGGCAAGCTAAGCCACCCCTGGAGCTCTGCTGTCTCCAAGTCCTCAGAGCCTGCCTCTTAGCTCTGCTCCAGGTGGCCCTGAGTCCTGTTGAGCTCCTCCAGGGGAGAGGTCAGTAGGGCAGGGGTTTGGCTCCTGCCCACTAAGCCAAGTCCATACACACTGCCCAAAATAGCATCTCTGAGCTTGCCAATAGCACCATGGAGACAGAGGCAGCCCTTGTGAGGTCAGAGGTGGAGTTTCAGGTGTGTGTTCTGGGTCATGCTTCCAGAGGAAAGGCCAGTCGTGTAAGCCAAGTGTCTGACTTATCTATCAGGCCAAAGCCAGAGGCATCCTGTGGATGTTCACAGAAGCTCCTGAGACCCAGGCTGTCGAGAAGGCCATGCAGATGGGGACCTCAGAGTTTCCAGAAATCAACAGAGAGGAGAAAGCAGGGGAAACAATCCTGGCTCAGTCCTCAAAGGGCCCCCAACCTGAAGGAGAGGGAGGGAAACCAGGCCTTGTCCTCAGGGGCCCCCATCTGGGAGGGGACTCCATCCCAGGCCCTGTCTTTAGACACCATCTCTCTTAGGAAAGACAAGTCCTGGGCTCTATGAGAGAAACCAGCATGGGGCTGGGACTCAGGAAAGTAATAGGAGTTCAGTGATGAGGGTGGGGCCAGGCAGGATCTTGAGCATCACCCTCTGGGACCTGGATGGGCCTTGAAGAACAGGGCAGGCATGGAAGTGTCAGCAGGAGCTGCAGTGCTTAAGCATGAGGGTGGGTGTCTGCTATTGGAGAGGCAGGCAAAGGGCAGGAAACCCAGGGTAGATGTGGTTGCCCAATAGTCCTGTATGGGGCCAGGGTGGTAGTGGCACACACCTTTAATCCAAGCACTAAGGAGGCAGAGGAAGGTGAATCTCTATGAGTTTGAGGCCAGCCTGGTCTACAGAGTGAGTTCCAGGACAAGCTCCAAAGCTACAGAGAAACCCTGTCTCAAAAAAACAAATTAATAAGAAAGGAAAAGCAAAAGGAGGGGGTGTGTGAAAAGTGAGCAAAAAAATACTGTCCTCTAGAGGGTGCCAAAGACCAGGCCATGTCTGGAACCTCATCCTGCACAACTCTCCCAGAAGCTCAGGTTTGCAGTCTCAGGTTTGCAGTGGCCAAGGGTTCTGCCTCACTCCCTAGCAGATACTAAGTGGGCTCAGACTGCTGCATTTCCTCCAGGAAAGCGGAGCTGCACCCTGGGAAGAGGGGCACCTGCCTTTACCCCTGCCCTATGTGTGCTGTGTGGTTAGAGATGAGGTAAGGGCTATGGGCTGGGTGTGGTGGCACATGCCTTTAATCCCATGAGTTTGAGGCCAGCTTGGTCTACAGATGGAGTACCAGGACAGCCAAGGTTACACGGAGAAACCGTCTCTTGGAGGGGAAAAAGGGTGGAGAGTTATGGAACTGGGTGTGGTGGTGCACATTTGAAATCCCTGAACTTGGAAGGCTTGGGTCAGAAGTACTGAGTGTGTGGATACCTGAGCAACAGAGAAACTGAGTCAAATAAATAAAGCTTTTTAAAAAAACAGATTCTTCTGTCATACATCACAAATATAATTTCACATGAAGCCAGAGCTTGGCAGTTAGACGAGGAAGAGAGAGAGCTAGACTATGTTAGAGTCAGGCCAAGGGGCACATTTACTTAGCAGGATGTGGGAACCAAGGTGGAGACAGCCCCATCTGTCTCACTGGCAGGCAAAGGACACTTAGAATCCACAGTAATAGGCAGACAGAATATATCCAGTCTAGAGAGGCAAGAGTCTTCCAGAAAAGGTGGTGTGGAAAAGGAGTCCTCCAAGATTCTGCCAGCAAGAAAAAGAACCTCTTGAAGCTCCTTGAAGCCCCAAAGGATTGTGAAAATCTAATCTGGAAATGGACAGGGGAAAGACTTGGGCTGGGTTTCCATGAAAGTCTTTACCTGGTTTCAACTCTATCCCAAGGGCCACACAGACACTAAAAGAATCCAAGCCAGGAGCAGAGTAAAGCCTCTTTACTACATCCCTGAGACACTGGGCTTCCAGCAAATTGCAGAGGAAGGTCCAGTCAAAGGATGAGTAGGTGCTATCAGCCCAGAAGACTCAGGGTTATCCAGGAATCACAGGGAGTGGGGCCAGGACTCTGAGGTACAGGGGACTAAGAAGGAATGGTGGGAGGGAGATGGGAAACTAGGCACTGGATTGCCTAGAG